CGTCCACCAAAATCAGCCAGGCTCTGACCACCGGCTTCTGGAATGAGAAATGGTTTCCAACAATAAGAAATCATCTCGTCTACCAATTGGTTTTTAGTTCCCTTCTTATCCTGGATTAGCATAACTGGTCTTTTCCCCTTCTTTAAAGCTTCACATCAGAGGCCTTTGCGTATCGCCCTCACCTCATTTATCTAATAAAGCTTCCTTGCACAGGCAGAGTACACAAAATATAATGATAGCAGAGCACTATAGAAGGGGTTGGTTATTTTTCTTCCCTTAAGCAGCTATAGATTTCAAAGCATCCTGAGCAGCTATTAATTGGTGACACTAAAGAAGATGGATGGATTGTGCTTTTTTTGAATGATTCACTTGCTTTTGTAAAGACTGCTGAAACATCTTCATGCTGAAATACTCCGCAGGAGCTATCAAGGATAAAAAAGCACCAGATGAAAAGCACCAAAGGATTTTGCCTGCAAGATGCTGACCACACTCCCAAGGAGCACAAGTGGTACCAGATGAGATGACACACCGGTATTTGATAGTTAACTGTATAACATAATTTATATGCTAGAACAATTCTATGTACAGACAGTATAAATGTACAATATAGCAGTAAGAAACAAGGGAGTGTTAACAGCATTGTAAAAATCCCTGGTAAGACAGTATTTAGCTGCTGTTGCTAGTTCTGGTCCCCATGCTCAGATGGGAGAAAGTGAAGGGATGGGCTGCAAGGGTGAGCCAGACCGTGGAAAGTCTGTTATATGAAAGGAGACTAAAAAAGGATGGCTTGTTTTATCTCATGCAATGAATGCTGAGAGAGGACTCCCTATAAATACATCACGGATAAGCACACAGAAGGGAGAAGCGCTATTTAAGCAGAAGCACAATTTTGGCAGAAAAAATGATGTGAATAAACTGGATAAGAGTATATTAAGGCTGGGAATAGGAAGATTTCTACATTTCCAAGGAGCTGCAGTAGGATTCCTCCTCCTGCACCATTACAGTAGGAGAAATGGTGGCAAAAATTAATTTTGTGGTGGAGCTGGATCATTTTATCATGCAGCTTCTTTCAGAGGGCTGCCTACGACAGAAGGGAAATGAGTTGACCTCAAAGGTCCCTTCCGGTACTAGACTGCTTGCAGGGCTGTAAGGTTTGTATTCACCAGCTTACAATCATCATCTGGAATTTACCTACTTGCTGCTCAGCTTACACGTTCACACATCTTATTCCTGCAGTTATAGCCCACAGGGAGGGAAGAAAGGACTCACTTATTGTTAGCATTTAGGGCCCTAAAGCAGACAGGACATTACAGTGTCACCTCAGCGTACACCATTCACATCCTATGTCATGCAGTAGAGAAAAGTAAAAATAGTACTTTCTTTAGCCTCATACAGTGCAGAATACTCTCTCTGACCAGCTGTTTAATAGAAGTAAGCAGAAATGACTGTATCATCTGTTTCCCTCCACAGGAGAACGAGGAAAAGTCTTCATCTAGTTCTTCTAGATAGGGAAATGGCTGGTGCCTTTAGTCTCACCTTTGCAAAGATTTGATTTTTCATAGACATGAGACAAGGTCTTCTGAGCTGAACTCCGGTCATGGAAACCCCCTTTTCATGCTACCTTTGTTTCAGAGGTTATTAATACTGCTGCCAAACTACCCTTTCTAATTGATTATGAAGTCTAGATTTTACCATCAGTTTGCATTATTTTATGGAAAGCCACCTTGACAGTGTCCAGTATTTGTTAGGCTTTATGGCATATTTTCATATGGTGTTTACTTGGGTTCTCCCCACTGCTGTACATGTGTGCATGTGTATGTGTGTTTTAAAGCATGAGCTCACTACTGATTACTTCTAACATGCTCTTTTACTTAGTGTCATCAGAAGATGTAACCTATCTACATTTTCCCTTTATTTCTCAAATAAGCTATGGCTTTTGTTGAATTGAAGTGAGTTTCTTCTGCCTCAGCCAGTCTGGCTCCACTCTCATTATGCAAACTGTAGGGTTTTCTCTTTCCCATCAGTGTTTTCCTAAACATTAAAAGCTAATATCTTTTGTGGTTATGTCAATCATTTAGCGATGCATTGATTTTGCTAGAGAGAAGTCATATTCTTTCCAGAAAGGCAGACATATATCACCCAACATCATAGCTTTGCTCTGTAGTTAAGACAGAATTAATTTCCTGGGTATAGGCAAATTAGCCAACACAGCCACCAGGCAGAGTTTGAAACGTATCTGCAAAAGCGTAGACATCAATTCACAATTAGATATATTCAATCATCTGTGAGGTTTGTTTTCTGGACTTCAGGCAAGGTTTAGATGAGATTTGGGCAGTGCAAGAAGAAAGGAAGAGCAGGAGGACATTTTGGCCTCTGCTCTAATTAAGAGCTTTTTTTTTAATTGCAAGCCTGATTAAGTTTCTCTCGTGATTAATTCTGAAGTGCTAAAATACACAAAACTGTGTAGATACTTGGCAGAAAAATATGGCTTACCAGTTACAATAACTCCATGAGGTTTAACATCTGGAATATAGGAGCAATAAATAAATTAAATAAATGTAAATAAATTGGAGCACTGATGCTCCTGTGAAGAGGGGATGGACTTTGAGAAATGAATGGCCTATAGGTTAGTCTTATTCAAAGAAAACCCTCTTTTGGGGGAAGATTTGCTAAATAAAACTAACTGCATACAAAATATTCAGCTATAAGTCATGTCAGAAAGAAAAGGAGAGTGGAAAAAGTTTAATAGACTGTAGCTGGGTGAAGAAACCAATGTTTCCATATGATTTACTTCTACAAACAAGATTATTCAGATTTAACAAAAGATATTGAAGATTTTCTTGCCTAAAATAGCTAAGAAAGAGAAGTCCTAATTAGTGCTAAATTTGTAACACTCAGGAGAGTGTGTTACCCCTTTTATTAATTTGCTAATAGCTGAGTTCAAGGAACTCCCTGTTCCCACTGTGGTACCATTAACACTTCAAACCTAAATCGCTGCCTCCCCTGGCTTCAGGTTCCTGGATTCCCAGCTCTTCTCTGGGAGGAAAATATATTTGGCTACTGAAACGCAAGTAAAAGAGGAAATAACAAACATCTTGCTTTAGAATAATAATTTAAAAAATTACATTAATCTGGCTGCTGAGGGAAGCCCCAGAGGATTGGGACTGCTGCCCCGCCGCCGCCAGCACTCCGGCATGCCGGTGCCCACCAGCGGTGGTGGGAAGCCCGGTTTTCTGGGCCAGCCGACCCCTGCCAAGAAAGCAGTGAGGCCATGGCTATTTTCCAGCCCTTGGCACGCCGGCACCATAAGCAACCATCTATATTTTGCATACCTGGAGGCTGCCCAGTTTGGGAATCTTTGAGAGATTTTTACCAAAGCTTTTAATTCAGGTCAACTTTAAATTATTTGAATCATTAGTCTATCCAGGAAAGTGCTTACGTAATAGCGGCGCTTGCCATTCATCACCTTTTGAGGGCTTCAGTTTGCATTTGCTGATTTACGTGCAGAGAGGAGGGATTCCCTGACGGACGGCCCCTGCGTGGCAGCACCCTCAGCCCTGTTACGGCAACGCCGCCGCACGTGTGGAGAAG